CGGCATGCACTACCAGACCAGTACAGCCCGAAGACGGTCGACGCACTGCCGCCTGAGAAGTGGGATCTGTTCACGAGCTCATCCTGACCGACGAGCTGTCGCGCCCCGGGTCTGGTGGCTTCGTCTGGAACATCATCGGCGGCTTCGGCATTGGCTGCCCGCCGCTGGTCAAGTTCGGACAAAAGGCTCTCGTGGACCGCATCCTGCCCGGCATCCTCGCCGGTGACGAGCGCATCTGCCTGGCCATCACGGAACCCGACGCCGGCTCTGACGTTGCCAACCTCTCGTGCGAGGCCAAGCTGACGGAAGATGGCAAGCACTTTATCGTGAACGGCGAGAAGAAGTGGATCACCAACGGAAAGTGGGCCCGCTATTTCACTACTGCGGTACGTACCGGCGAGCCCGGTATGAACGGCGTCAGCTTGCTGCTCATCGAGCGTGACTTCCCCGGCGTCACGACGCGTCAGATGGACTGCCAGGGCGTGTGGTCGAGCGGCACGACGTACATCACGTTCGAGGACGTCAAGGTGCCGGTCGAGAACCTGCTGGGCAAGAAGGACAGGGGCTTCCGAGGTATGTGTCCCCCCCCCCCCCTCTTCTTTCTTTCCATTTCAAGAGAGCGCAGAGGATCTAACACGACGCAGCCATCATGACCAACTTCAACCATGAGCGCATCGGCATCATTATCCAGTGCCTGCGCTTCTCTCGCGTCTGCTACTCCGAGTCGGTCTCGTACGCCTCGAAGCGTCGCACCTTTGGCAAGAAGCTCATCGAGCACCCCGTCATCCGCCTCAAGCTCGCCCACATGGCGCGCCAGATCGAGGCGTCGTACAACTGGCTCGAGAACCTCATGTTCCAGTGCCAGAAGATGGGGGAGACGGAGGCCATGCTCAAGCTCGGTGGTGCCATTGCCGGCCTCAAGGCTCAGTCCACCGTCACCTTTGAGTTCTGCGCCCGCGAGGCGAGCCAGATCTTTGGCGGCCTCAGCTACTCTCGTGGCGGACAGGGAGGCAAGGTCGAGAGGCTCTACAGGGATGTGCGTGCGTATGCCATCCCCGGCGGTAGCGAGGAGATCATGCTCGACCTGAGCATCAGGCAGAGCATGCGCGTCAACAAGGCGTTGGGAATGAAGCTGTAGGCTGGGAGTGAAGCTGCAGGCTAGGCGAAGCTGCAAGCTAGGGGAAGCTGCAAGCTAGGGGAAGAGGTGGTGTATGAGTAGCATGTCATGCCTTTGTCATTTTTCACTTAGCCTGTTTTCTTTTGGTCGGCGCTATGCACGGTTGCATCAAGCTGCCCTTGATACCTCTCGATTCGAAAATGAAGGAAGAAGACGAGACGAAAATTTCTGCATCTGCTTCACCGTTGACGACGCGAAGGATGACTGTTGCCGTGTCGATGATGACAAGCTGCTGCTGGTATTGGCCTGTTCCAGGTCTTACTCTGCTGATCACCTGCCAGAAACGACG